TTCTGCCTGTTACATACTTTTAACAAAACCATTATACCTTGATTTCCCATTTTCAGTGGGTTCAGGGTATAAAAAGCATCTCCACAATCCACACTCCACACACCTGCGCGAGAGCCACAAGAAATGGGCACAATAACTAGAATTATGAATGAGAAACAGAACGAGAGACCAACTAATGTATGTATATGGGTGCCCTATGCTGTTAGTTTTTATGGCTGAATGCAAATTGAGATGTGAAACCGATTCACTTTGCTACAGAACTGAAACTGAATAGGCTGATCTTATTCGCTAATCGTCTCAGTTTGACTTCATTAACTCAACTCATTTCGCATGGCTAAGGACTAACTAGTTGGGTATTTCACAGATCGTTGCAAGGTGTTTGCTGCAGCACTCTTGATAATTGCTTGATATTGGCCAGCGGCTACTATAGAGAGATAGAGAGAGAAAATAATAATAAAAATATAAAAAATATTTTCAATGTACATAACCGGAAATCTAAAACAGGTTTTACGCTCCCTCTGTCGCTCTGTTGGCCAACAAGATGATGGGCCCAAACAAATAGCAATGCCAACTCAGTGCATAGAACAAACGCAGATTTATTATGAATAGAAATAATCAGAATGCAATTAGTTCTATATATAATGCTGATCATAACTGAGCTCAATGAACGGAAAGAACTGAACTATGCTAGATTATATCAAGAATAAGTTCTAGTTTTAATTGGAAGTATGCAAAGTGCAAAATATTTTCCTTGGCTCACTTCAAGGCTTTCCTCGCCTCGCCTCAGCTCGCCTCACCTCGCTAACCTCAAAATTCCACCGCCTTTGGCTAAGAATGCAAGCCAATTATAACTATGGGCGACTAATGCCATAATGGGCTAACATTTAAGTCGCTGTTTGCCACCTACTTTAGCGCTGACCCACGACTACCCGGGCAACGGGGCGCTCAAGACGTACAAAATGTGGAGGAAACGCGCTCGAATATGTATAAATGTGTGAACGTTGCACATGCGCGACTGCCTAGATACTCTGTACCATGCTAATTGACAAATATTAAAATATGCACTATTTTAATCAGTCATATACTATTGTGTATTAGATAAGAATTGATGTGAACTCATGCAGATCTTTGATTTGCAACTGTTTAAAGTCAAAAATATGCCCAGAACTGGCACCAGAAATGGAACTTATGTAGTTCATATAGCTTATGCTCAAATATATCACACAGATACCTTTAGCTAGCTCATGTGATGCACATAGCTCGCATAATAATAGTCTATGATTACTCCAGTTCCAGTTCACATAGTTCATATTGGTTCTAAATTTCGTAGTTCATGCTCTTTTAGTTCACTTAGTTTGGTTATTTTTAACTTTTGCTTTGATAGTGAATCAATCTTAACTAGTTCTAATCGTGGCAAATTCATAATCATCCAGCTGGACTAGTCATCATTTATTTGTAGGGTATAAAAATCAATTGCGTTTTAATTTTTGCGCCCACCTTGGCGAAAAGTCTGTCGAACAGTCCAGGCTTGGGTAGTTGATAGACTCATGAGGGTTGCCTACGTTTTGTTGTTGTGT